TTGCAACCGATTTCTGGAGGAATTGTCGCCTGGATACTACAGGTGTCTGGTGGTTTTTTGGAGAAATGGATCATTCAGGCAGTGTCGCCCGAGCTGAGTTGGTTGACTCAGGTCTTTAGGGCTCCTTCCAACAATCTCTTGGATGCACTGAATTCCCGGCAAAACCAGCATCAAATGTCATTGTGAAAGCTACTCGTCCCTTCATCAACAGGATTCTACAGAGGAGTTGGTATTTGATGACCGTCAAACAAAAGACCGTCAAACAAGGATTGGCATGGGCCCAGGCTCGGTCTTGGGTCTTGTAGTTATCGGATGTCATCGGTAGTCTACAGATATGCAATGTTGAGTGCCCTTGTTGAGTGTAGCGGGTTCTCCATCATGTTCCATTGGTACATCTGGGTCCAGAAAATCCTGCCTCATGTGGGCTATTGCTCTCCCTTTGTACCCTGAGGTGGGAGCTTGTGACCTTCTTGCAAGGGTCACTGCTCCAACCCTTCAGCGCTGGGTGGAAGATTTATTCTTGGATGCTTTTGAGGCGTTCAACTTATATCTTTACAACACAACCACTTGGGCGGCCCAATTACAGACACAAGTCGGCCGCGTGGCTTGTGATTTCGCAGCCGAACTGCATTCAGTGGAGGTCTTCCACTTCTTATTCGGTGAAATGGAATCAAGGTCGATTCGCCTTCCGAAACATCCACAAGATGGCACACAGAAGTCCCATGATAGGGCTTCCCTAGCCCCCTAGCCTACCCCCCTAGGCAGGGAGTCAAGGCGGCTAGGCTTCAGTGCCCAAGATGGAGAACAGTTTGGAGATTCGATCTACGAAATACGCCATCAGATTTCAGGCAGTTCTTCCTGCCTGCTTTCTTCGGACGAGCGGTGACCGTGGTGAGCAACCATGTTACCTTTCTTGGAGCTTGGACGTTGGACCGAAAAGATGACGAATTTGGATCTCGAAGCAGCACTGCGACAGGGTGTTTTTTGGGAATCATAGGAAAGGTGGTAGTTTTTGGCAGCATGTTCCTGGTATTGGAATGGATTGGGGGGAACATGAAGCAGGAAATGCTCCAGATTCCACTCACAAGTCTCAGAACGTTCCAGAAGGGTGGGAGTGCCTTACTGGAGAGCCTGTTTGTTTCAATGTGGTGGGACCTGCTGCATCAGCGTCAGTCACTATCAGCGCTTGGAGCCATCGGATTGTTGCAATGGCCAGCATTTTACGCATTTTATCATGTTCGCCAAATATGCCGTTCTGGTGTTCGAGGTGCTCTTAGCTCTCCTGGTCATTGAATTGTTGGCAGAGCAGACCGGGGGAGACTCATGATCTCCGTGTGAGAGACCGACGTGCCGAAGTTCGACCCGGGGCCGTTGAGGTGTTGAGCCAATGTGGAGCTGTTGAGGTGTTGGACGGAGCAAGAAAAGAAAAGAACTGAAACACAAACATGCAACTAGTATCTTCTTGTAGCTTCTTGTTACTACTAGTAAGGCACTTGTTACTAGATGCACTTGTTCCTAGTAGCTTCTTGTTACTACTAGTAGCTTCTTGCAACTAGTAGTGATGGCCTCCAACCTACTTGCGATGGCCTCCACCGAGCATACGTAGCGTCCTTGCTACTTGTAGCTTCTTGTGCAAGGAATGCATGTATGACTCGTGGTTCCAAGCTCGTATCAACATACGGAGAAAGATGTACCACGTTTTCATGGCACAAACTCATAGGACCAGTTCACACGCATGGGTTTGAACACCTTTGCCTTCGCCGCCCACCGTGCCACAACGGCAGGGCTTCCACTGGGATTGGCCCCTCTCTCGCTGTGAGCAGAAGCAACGGCTGCTGCTCACGGAGAATCGTCTCCTCGTCGGGGCGGCCCAGGGCGGGGGCACGACATGGTGACAACCGACCCAGTCAGTGGAGAACCTACCTTTCCGAGGGGTTGGGGACACTGCCCACTAAATATGAACTGATGTTTCGAAAGGTTAACCTGTCTTTTTTGAAAGGAAACGGCTCGGGAGAGTCCGAGTCCATGGGAGGAAGAAGCCAATACACTGCAGTGTTCCACAGGTTCATGGAATGCATCGTCTTTATTCAGGCCAATACAATCCTACCGGCCAGGGTCCAGTTGTTGATCTTTTGCCCGCAGTCTTGGCTCATAAAAAGAATCACCTCACGCCTTTCACAGGGCCATAGGGGGGTGGTGGCAACGGGGGTTAGCAAAATGCAAAAGATCTTTTGGATTGGGCTGAGCGTTCCTGAGTGCTGGTCAGGGTGCCTTCCATCCAACGTACCTAACATCCCTCAATCATCCTCAGACAAAAACCATCACCTCATCAAAGTTTCCCTGAAAATCTAGGAACCAAATCATTAGTGTTTCGCGCTTCTTCAAGGAAGCGTCTTCGCGTCTTCGCTGCGTCCAGCTACTCCCTCAATCCACCCTGGGCGGGGCCTCGGGCAGAACAGAATCCATCCCTCATGAAAACCGTTCCTGGGACGTTCCTGGGACGTTCCGGAAACAACCTGTCTCGCATTGTTTTGCTCGACATCGCTAGTCTTGGGACGTCTAGGCTCTTGAAGGACAAGAGCGCTTGGAAGAGTTGTTGGAGGACCCAAATAGCCAGAAGTGTGTCCTCTGAACGTGGTCGAGCTTAGCTTGCCGACTGTTTGCAATGAACATGCACAGCTTCGGTGTGTCTCCGCATCGATCTTGATGACAATATGCAGCAACTGGCGTGACGTCACTCTGCTGAATCGGTTACGACTGTACAGTGAATCGTTACGAGAGATGTCTTTAATACAACCGCTTCCTGCAGGAGAATGCCAATGAGAGGGAGGAACTGGCAGCAGTCATGAAGGCGGGTGACCATGTCCGGAAAATGCATGTGCCACTTGCTTTCTTGTTACTACTAGTAAGGCACACTTGTCCTGGGATCCGGGTGAAGCCGTTGTCTTCGGCCGTGCTTCGTCAGGTGCTGAAGGATCAAGTCACCAAAGTGCGAAGCAAAGGCGCGAGAGCTGCGGAGCGCTGCGTCGAGCGCAGCGGTGGAGTCGAGTCGTGCCCTTGGCCAGGCGGAGTGGACAAGGAGAATATCCCCATTGCCGCTGAGATGTTCAGTTCAGAGAGCGAAAGATATGGGGTCAGAGAAACAGAGAGAGTGAGGGCATGACGGAGGAAGCTGGGGAATTATGAATGGCTTTCTTTAAGAGACAGACATGTCACTGAATGTCACACGTCTTTTCACTCCGCTGGGGATCAAATCGATTTCTCCTTTCCCAATAAAAGATAAAAAAGGCGAACACACTTCCTGTTCGCCCGCGTTTCTCGGTTGACGACAAGGCACAGCGAGGAGGTGGCTAAACTGCAACTCAGCTCCAGAGCCTTGGCGCTGTTTCTTCATGCTTTTTTCAATGTAGCAAGAATACTCCAAGAGCTCCAGAGACACGTAACAAGAATGCTGCCAGTAGCAAGAACGCCACAAGGTTAGGAGGCCATCACTATTAGGTTGGAGGCCATTACTACTAGCATCTAGTAGCTAGAAGCTACGAACGTAACAAGGGCATGACTCCATGAACATCTCACGGAGCGCTTCCGCCTGGTGCGGAGTTCCCCCGTCACCGCCACCGAACGAACGAGGCAACATCCGAACGGTGGAAGAACCATACCCAGACACGACCTGTTTTGGGGGCTGGCGTCCATTTGACCCAACGGGCCCCTCTCTCCAACCCCAAGTGATCGGCAAAGATGGCATTTTCAGACAGGTCGTGTCTGGGATGTGGAAAATGTGGTTGCTTTTGGGCAAAAGAAGAGGGATCCATCTTGCGCGACTTCGATCCAGCTCAGGGTTAAGTGAGGAGATACCGTGTTCAAACGCATTCGCGTGTTCGAACAGTCCCAGCCCAACACGCACACGGCACATTGACAATCATGCCCACTTGAGGATTGCTGAGCTTGAGTGATTTGCCGAGGGCCGCAGACTTGCTGCAAGAGTCATCAATGTCCAGCTGGTCTGACCACGTTCGGTCCAAACATGTTTTGACCGTTTTGACCGACCAAACTGTGTCCTCACCGTCAGACTGACTTGAGGGACTTGAGTGAGGGCCACGGACCAAATATGAGTCGTGTTTACCCTGTAGCCAGCAAGGTCTACCAGTCTGGTGTCAAGTGTGGCGGTTGCATTCAAATCATTAGGCCGCATCACACCCAGAACGATTGTGGCACCACAAAAGCTCCTGGTTAAAACAGATGGAAGAGCTTCTGCACTGTCTTGGGGAACCGAAACACTACAAATCACCAGAGCGCTTTTTGATGTTTTTTTCCATTTCAGTTGAGGTAGGATTTCTTGCAACAGTGACTCTCCCTTGAAAAAATCCTAGTTCGGGGGGTCATTGAGGTTTTTGAGGCGAACCATCTCGTGACGATCGAAAAGAGATCGAGGTTCTGAGGTTCCCCCTGTTTTTTTTTAGAATGTACTCCCAGGGAGTCAAAGACTATATAAAGAATTGTCTTTAGGTGGCACGAAAAGGGCCTTCCTTTACTTCAGATCACAAAAATACTCTTTGGACTTCCAGGGTACTGGAACCCTTTACCATTGATTTGATGACTATACTGACTTCCATTCCCTGACCGAGGTCCGATCCGTTTTTTGGTTTGGACCGATCTGTTGGAGCAGACTGTGAATTCGGAGCTGACTCCCCAGAGTTGCGCGACGAGGACCACGGTGTTCTCCGCGCGCGATGTGCAGGTGGTTTTTTGGCGAGGAGAACCTCAGAGAGACTCCCGTAATTCGAACGCACGGAGATGAACGCATCCAACATTTGGCTGATGTGGATAATGAACGAAGATCAAAGAAGCGTGTCTTGGATTGCTTGGAAGAACATGAGCAAGAAAGGCTTTGTGTTATCTTCAGGCTTTTAATCTCGTTTCCAAAGATCGAAATAGATCGAAAAAGACTCCACCGCCATCGATTTCGTGTCGTCAAACTCTCAGCTTTGCTTCTTGGGGAGGCAGGGCGTCGGACTGGCAAGGCCTGGGACGACGGTGTGGGACGGGTCCAGTGGCAATCGAAGGCCGAACAGTCAAAGCCATCGAATTGCGGGTCAAGTGAATATATACCTGGATGTGTTTGTCTTTTCTGTTGGTTGAAGTTGTATGCGTGTTCCGTTCGTTTCAGGATGTGAAAGAGCTTGGCTTCAACAGCCAACTCTGTTCACCTCAGATGATGGCAGCTTACGTTGAGATACGAGCTACCAGTGTTGTACTTTATGGCTTAGAGCTGGCCACTCTTCCAGGTGACGCACATTGGTACTACCACAACCATTGGTAACGTCTCGGTCTTTTCTCCTTCCGTGCCAGCCTCAAATAACAGAATGACATGGAATGACACAAAAATACAGAGATTGTGCAATTGGTGGAGTTCTTTGTGTTTGTGCGAACTTGTTTGCTCAGGCTGAGGTGAGTTTGGAGCTGAGTCAAGGAACAGCGTCAAAGGCTTCGTTTTGGCGTTCACATCTGCGTTTAAGGCGGCACATTGAGCAACTCGCCCCTTCCGGCACCAGCATTTTCTCAGGCTGGACTTCTTCAGGGATGTTTTGGCATCATGCTTTTGGGCATTGCTACTAGTAACACGGGCACTACTACTACTACTACTACTACTACTACTACTACTACTACTACTACTACTACTACTACTACTA